CTTGAAGTAACAAACGCATGGACTTATTATTCAGCGTCACTCCATATATTTCTAATTTATACTATATTCCAGAGACAAAACAGTGAAATTCTAGGAACCTCTTTAAATATACAGGTCAAAGGGCAAGAGCTGACAGGTTATTTTTAGCTGGAGTTTGAATGTGTTTGTTATTTTCCACAAAGTGGTCTGCTAATAACAAGCTTTCTATTTACAATTATCTGTAGATTAGCTGTCTTCACAACAGCTTCATAGACCACTAAGCTCATTTAAATAAAGTAAGCACACACACTGACTTGTTGATTAGAGGTCTGCGTTGGCCAGACATTCATCCCTGGCAATCACTGGCAAGCGGATGTTGTTTACAAAGCTTGCTAGCAGACAATTGAGGTCGGAACTCAGTGTGGCCTGGATTGCCTGCTTACATGGCTCAGTGTGCTGCTCTTCTTTGACTCACTGTTGTAGCTCCAATGCAGCCCTAACAGGAATGTAATTGAAATAGGATGGTAACTTAAATGTACTTTAAGCTTGCAACTTACAAATAGTAATTTTAATTACCATTCTGACATTCTCACAAAAGTTGCTTTATCCACCTGTTATGGTTTTTAATCACAACAGATTTTTAATCATTTTAATGAACAATATGACTAAACTTAGTTGGTTCTTCTTAACATGTGTTACTTATTTCTAGGTGTTCCTGGTTAGAAAGATCAGAGGAGTGGACAGAGGACAGCTCTACGCCATGAAGGTCCTGAAAAAAGCTACTCTAAAAGGTGATTCAATCAAATGCAAACTATTAGGTAAAAGTAAAATATAAAAGAAACAAAAAGACGAGATTTTCTTATCCTTTGCACATGCATCCACAGCAACCCCTCGCACATTAATTTTGTAGAAGAATAGTTAGATAAAGATATATTTGATGCTTTGCAATGCAAAAAACATCTCTTACAGATGCAAATGCTAATATACTGAAATTAAAATAGGCTTTGCGTGTAAACATCCTGTGGTTGTCAGATTTCTGACTTCATATGCCCTACATTCAAGGGATTTGGAGTAAAACAGGTTAGTTTGTACTCTTTACTCAAAAAAACATATTTTTTTTCCATCTGGTGGGATTACCATAAACTAGAGGAAAGCAGGTTTAGATGTCATGTGCTAATCTAGAGCATTTGTACAAGATTTAATCCTCTTTACACACACCTCTGGAATTGGAAGAATCGCTGCCTCGTCCCTAAAGGAGACACATGCTTAATTATATTGTGAATCTGCATTGCCAGAATTTAATAGCACATTATGCCAGTTAAGGTAATACCTGGTACTTACAATGGTCAGCAACAAATGCAGAAAAATGTAAGTATTACAATTTAGATTTAACTTATTAAACTTTTGACAAAGATAAGATAAGATAAAGTGAATGGAATTGATATCTGTATGCATCTGAGAACCTTTTCTAAACATTACAATTCAAGGAGACTATTTCATTATAATTTACCTCATTCTTTTTCATTTGAAAGATTTACCCTCTATGGAATCATATGTTTGTCAATACTAAATACTTCAAAAATAGTAGAAATGTATTATTATGTGGTTCAAATATTGTTTTAAAGCTCTATTGTTAAGCTCTCTAATGTTAACATTATGTTTTTGTAATTTTAGATCCTTACTTTTAAACATTTTTTGGCATTAGTCAGTGGATATTAAAGTATTTTTAGAAAGTTGCTCTTCAGTTAATGACATCTTCTTTTTTTAGTGCGGGACAGAGTGCGATCAAAGATGGAAAGAGATATTCTGGCAGAGGTTAATCACCCATTTATTGTTAAACTCCACTATGGTAAGTTGGAAACATTTCTTCTTTAGTCTTATGTTTTTTGCATTTGTTCAAAATAAGTTTTATACATTTTTGCCCAAATCAACTGCAACCTTTCCATTGAAAACTAAACAAAGATTGCAAAAGTTCCACTTCCTGTGAAAATGGAGTTGAAATGCTGTACACTGAAGCTGTAAGCTAGCAGAAACAAGTTGATTTTGAAAGGAAAAAAATTTGCTGAAATAGTATGATGTATCAGAAAACAGAAATGCTTCATAGCTTGTCTTAAACCAAAAAATAGAGGAAACAAGCTGAAGCTAACAGCAGAAACATGGCCAAAATGTTGTGAATTACTAAAAATTTTTCTGAATTATTAAAAAACAGAAAAGCTTGATGCTGTTCCTGAAAGATAGCAGAATCAAGTCAAAGTTGACAACAAACAACCTGCTGAGATCTATTAAATCAAAATAAATAGCAGAAATATTAGAAGAAGAAAGCTGTTATCGCATTGGGTTAAAGAGAAATACTATCAACTTTAAAAGGCTTAGCCTCTTACACCCTAAGGGGGTATAAATAAATTTCTGCCTGACAAAAACACACAAAAGTAAATAACTTATAGCCTCAAAGCTATTAGATTTAAGAAGAAACTTTTGGTACGTCTGTAAAGGTAAGATGTCATAGAATGGTTTTCTGGTGTCAGCACCATTGTAGCTTTGACCCTGCCT